AACAATATGTTTCAGTATGCCTCAACTTATGGGATAGCCCGGGCCAGGAACATGACTATAGGAATAACGCCTACATCCTTAATGTTTAATACTTTTAATATTTCTACTAAATTTTTAATCGGCAAACAGTTTTGTGAGACTGCAGAAAAAGTCGTAGAGAGGAGACCTTGTGCATATGATAAAGGTTCCGTCCATCTTATTAGAAAAAACAAACTGAACTACATTCATAAATCATATTTACAGTCGTGGAAATATTTTCAAGATGTGGAGAGCGAGATAAGGGAGCAATTTGTGTTCATGGAGGATGTTCAGCACAAAGCACAGACGCTTATAGAGACACTGACTAAACCCTTTTCTAGTAAAAATCTAACGATAGTGGGCGTCCATATACGAAGGGGTGATTATAAAAATGAAAAAAATGTCAAATATGGATATACTTTAGCCACAGGGGAATATGTCGGTAGATCTTTGAAATATTTTAGGGATAGATACAAACCACTGGTGTTCATCGTTTTTACAAATCCAAATATGGAGGATCTCAAATGGTGCAAATATCATATAAAAGGAAGTGATGTTGTTTTCGCGCCAGAAAGCGCGCGGGAAGTTGACATGTGCGCCATTTCGATGTGCAATCATACAGTTATGACTGTTGGATCGTTTGGTTGGTGGGGGAGTTTTCTGGCCAATGGTACAACTGTTTACTTCAAAAACGTAGCTAGAAACGACAGCAATCTCAGAAAAGACTTCAGCTCCGACATGTCGGATTATTTCTATCCCGGTTGGATAGGCTTGGATTGAAAAAGTTATATTCAACATGTGTTCAATGATATTTCTAAACAAAACATTGGTTTTGACTAACATTTATTAAAAACATTGATTCATACGTCATGTTTTTTTACGTCAGATCACGGAATTTTGTATGTAATGATTCTAGATCTCATTTACATGTAAATGCAAAGAAAATCCCTACTTTGATCTCTAGATGTTTCTCATTGTTAAAATTAAAAATGTTGTTAAATTCTTCCCCTTCTTGAACCTTGTAGTCACATATAATAATGCTAAATGTGTAGAGGAAATCGGAGAGGTATGCCAGGATTAAAAGCAAGGAATACCTCGTGAAGGAAAGAAACTGAATTCTATGGAGCAAATCAGAGTATGTAGATCGAACCGTCACCAGTTATTCCGGGATGAAGGTGGGTGTGGGTAGGGTTTGAAAGGAGTATCATTTATTCGAATAGGTGATATCACTTTTTGGCAGTAAATACCAAAACGGCGCCTCATAGTATCTCCTCTTCTAACCAAGGAATTTTGTTTCAAAATGGGTATCATTTTGGTGGAGTCATTTGATCAAATACCAAATAAATAAAATCTATCAGAATTTGCTTTTTGACAAACAAATAACGATTTTGATCCCAATTGCACCCCTATTAATTCCCTTTCGACTGCATTTATTTGTACAGGTAGATCATAATTTATCACAGCAATATAAACACATTTGTTTGGTAATTTAACGTCATGTACCAAATACTTTAATAGTCTGATTTTCTTAAAAAAAATGTCGAATACCCATTCAGGAATATCCTGAATTCTCGTGGTTTTCTAAACAAGTTTCAATACAACTATTATTCTCTTTAAGGATTAAGGATACCTAACTCAAACAAAAATTTGATGCGTAGATTGATGTATATTTTTTCACTGATTTTGAATAGAAATGACATAAATGATAAATTCCTAAAATGTAGAAAGAAATCTTAAGTATTCTTTGGTGCTTAGATATGCGACTTTGTGTCGTTTTCTATGTAATACATGTTTGAATATAAATCTATGACGAATATTGCTAATACACTCCCTTTCCGATCTACACCACTACAAAAAAAAAATACGTAAATGACTGATCCAGCAATGTCGAGAGAAGAACAAGAGAATGTCCGTGCAAGATCAGATCCAGCTCTGAGGGGCAACAATGCTTATTAGCATGATATGAAAATAGACGTGACCTGTGATGTACTGCAATGATAGCAAAAACATTTTACACTATGTATTATATAACAATTGAAGTAAATAAAAGAAATGAAATACTGTATAATTTTTTTTAAATGCAATTTTCTCCGAATGCCAAGATACCAATAGTTTTTTATCCTAAAATGTATTTCTTGATCAATTTTCAATTAAACAAGATGTGTTTGTGAAACAATGATGCCCCCGTATGGCAACTTATAGCGAAGGTTAAACTTTCTCAAACGCAAATCAATTATGTTGGTACCCAAAGTAAGGTCTATTACAGAGGAATATACTTGTAAAATATGAAAGCCCTGGCAGGAACATTGGAAAGATATGGAAAAGGTTAAAATTTTTCAAAAGTAAGTCAAACATCAAGGTCAAGGTCAAAATTAATGGTGCCCAAGGAAAGGCCTTCTTACAAGAAATACACAAGTGAAATGTGAAAGCCCTAGCACCAACCATTTAAAAGATAGGGCCAAGGTTAAAGTTTTTCAAAGTAGGTCAAACTCCAAGGTCAAGGTCAATGGGCTATAATTAATTGTTGGTATCCAAAGGAAGGTCTTGTCACAAGGATAACATATGTGAAGTATGAAAGCCCTAGCAACAACTGTTCAAAAGATATGGCCAATGTTAAAGTTTTCAAAAGTGGGTCAAACCCAAAGGTCAAGGTCAAAGGGTCAAAGTTGTTGGTATCCAGAGGATGGTCTTGTCACAAGGATTACACATGTGAAATATGAGAGCCCTAGCGTCAACCGTTCAAAAGATATGGCCAATGTTAAAGTTTTTCAAAAGCAGGTCAAACTCCAAGGTCAAGGTCAAAGGGTCAAAGTTGTTGGTACCCAAAGAAAGGTCTTGTCACAAGGAATACACATGTGAAATATGAAAGCCATGGCTTCAACCAATCAAAAGTTATGAGCAATGTTAAAGTTTTTGTGGACAAACAGACAGACAGACGGACGGACGAAGCAAAAACTATATTCCCCCAATCTTCGATACGGGGGCATAAAAATGCATAACTGGTGCTTTTATTCACATTTCCTGAAAATATAGTTGAGATAAGATAAATTTTTCTACATAAAATGATTAATTAACTATGATGATGAACTTTGAAAGACGCATTACTTTGTGCATTCTGATACATTTTCATGGGCATTTTCAATGACTTAACTGATAATTTTCAGTACCTGAGGATCGGACTACCTTAAATTATATATAGAATATATTCCTGTCGAAAAGGTTAGCTCCAAATCTGTCATTAATACAACACTGGAGGATTGTTATAGACACTGCAAAGTAATAACTCACACCACTAAGAATTGGTAAATAGTAGACCTTTTTTGATACGTAAGTGACTGTAATTTTACCTAGATTACATCGATGTATAATAGCTAGTGAAAAACTATGTTATATATATATTTTTTTTCTGTTTAGAAAGGGTGCGCCCCTGGTAGATACAGAAATATATAATTCTGGACAACTTATTTTCTTTTCCAGACACGAATTTTGCTTAACTAGTACATGTATGTTATAACCCTAGATATTAACGTATAATGGAAATGGGAGGATCTTGAGAGGGGAGTCCCAACTGAACCACACCGTGGAATTTTCAGAGTAATAAATTCCTATGTAAAAGAAAAAATGACCTTGGAAACCCCCTTTCTTCTAACCCTCTAAAAATGGTATGCAGAGTCATGAAGAAAATTAATTATGAAAAGTGTCCTCATCTACCACTCCTCCCTTTTAGGTTTTTCGGGTTTGGACAAGTTGTTTACGTTTTTTTCTTCTTTGCTTGTTAAAAAAATTCTGAGTCTGACATGGGCCCCCAACCCCACCCCAAGAGTTATATGCCGATTCCTATAGTAATTTTCACAGAAAATTTATGAACCCCAGATAATGTTTTCGCCTCATCCGATTTTGTTAGATTTTTTTTTTACTACATTTATTTTGTGTGTTCTAAGAGTTTATTTTTAACTAAAGAAATTGTGTTGCCGTTAGTTTGATGTTTCATGATAAAGATGACTGGACTACTTCTGATAACTGGTACAGCACTGTCACTTCTATGCTAAGCCTCTTAGTATCCTGAATATTTAGATAAAGCCTTGAAGTAGGTCAATGTGACCTAATTTTTGTTATCACACTCTGAAATCCCAAGATGTGTCAACTGAAAAAGTTGTAGGTCACAGTGAATTACTTCTTAGTTGACACAGTCCAAGGACCCAATATGTATCAACTGTTAGAATTTTACATGGAATATATTAGAAAATATTCAAAACTCTTTTTCTCAAGAACAGCAGGGCCATGATAAATTACATTAACACACCAAGAGTAAAATTTGCATACATGTAAAATTTACACCTGTTAGTAAACGAGTGCATGTGAACGGGGCTTAATTAGTCACTCATAGTGATACTGAAAAATCTCCATATTTTGTGGAATAAAATTTCATTAAGTCCTGACCCCTTTTGGCTAGAAATGAGTCATTACGTGGGGTCTAACTTTTCTTGGGAACTGAGAAAATACAAGGGTTGCCCAGTAGAATAGTTGACAATGCACTTTCATTAAAAAAACAAATGCATGTACTAAGCTTAAATTTATCTAGATCTATCATATTTGAATATCTTTATTTCTAGAAAAATATAGACAATATAGAAATAGAATGTGGATTTTATCATATGTGAATGTGCATAGGGTATAGTGTGTCAAATTGTATCAGATAACCCATGCTTGCATTGGTAAATGATATATGTTACATGTATCACGAAGCATTCCTTATTAAGTACAGTGTACAAGGGTAAAGATCAAGGTGTATGCGATAGTTTACATCATAGTAGTAAATTATAGACTAATATCGTTAACTGTAATTCTTGTCCTGTAAACTAGAATTTGTAATACTAGTAGATAAATCTAGTTATCAATGCAAAACTTGCTCTATTTTGTAATTTGGTTTGCCATATAAATGGCTATCATTTTAAACTGCATAAAAAATAAATACTGTAATACATGCATACTTAGATTTTTAATCAAATCAATACAATATATTTTCTTGCAATTCTTCTTGCAGAATTTCTTTTTGTGTCACATGTCCAAGAAGTACTGCATCTGCCTCAAGTAATGAGGTATAGCGTGCTGATCCTAGAAATTTGTCTGCCATTTCAAATTCCTTCAGGAGTAATTTCACTCTTGTTCCAAATGTGTAGCTGTAACAACATCAAAAGAAATTTTACACAGTGTTAAACTTTAAATGATCATGAAATAAAACAGTTCTATTGGTAAATGTAAACACATTCCTAAGGCCAAAATAAAATTATTGTTTGTTTGGAATTGCTTCCCACTTCATCGAAATGACCTCTCCTGGAAAAATTTTATTGACCAAAAATAATAAGAATTTTTTATTCTTCAATCAGTTTATGGCCTGTTATCACATGCTACTAAAAAAATTGAGCATCGGATCTAAGCAAAAACTGGGTTCTTGGTTGACAGGAGAAACCTTTACAAAAAGTAAGAAAATAGTGTTTTCACTGCTTATTGATACTTTTATGAACAGTTTCAAATTGAACCTCAGTTTTAAAAAAAAAAATCAGTAAGTTCCCTCCCTCTTTCCCTTCTGGGTCTGAAACCCCCTAGGTGGCAATTCCAAACAAAAATTTTTTTAAGGATGGCCTTATATAATATTTTGCAATCTACTGATAAATTTATTAAAGAGAGTAACTCAACAATGATGAAAATTCAACTCATTTTCTCAATGTTTTTTCTCGCTTTGAATTTACAAGCCATGCTGACATTTGGAACTCTATGGGTTATTCATAGATGGAACGTTCTATCATTAAAATGATATTGTCCTACGCGTCCCGTTTAACTATAGAAAATGTTCTGTGTGTTGGCAATATAGCAAAACACACATAGGCAATAACTCTTGCTCACTGCAAATACTATGAACAATCCAGGGAGTTCCAAATGTCAGCATGACAAGTAAATTCAAAGGGAGAAAAGACATTGAGAAAATGAGTTGAATTTTCATCTTTGTATGAATTATTTTTTAGGTAAAAAGGCATATACAAGCCCAAAAAGGTTTGTTAATAAATAATGATATATTATGATAATTCGTTTCTGTGCAACTCCTTTACTCCTTTTTTTCTGCAAAATCATTTTGCAGCAGATCAACTCCAATTTGCTATTGTTTCATTAACCTTGCCTATATATATATATATATATAAATTTAAACCTCCACGGACAAACTAGATAGAACGTTCTATCGTTAAAATGATATTGTCCTATGGACCCTGTTTAATGATAGAATTTGTTCCGTGTATTGGCAATGTAGCAAAATAAACACAGGCAATAACTCCAACTCAGTTCATTTACTGTGATCAATCCAGAGAGTTTCAAATGTCAGCATGGCGTGTAAATTTGAAGCGAGGAAAAACATTGAGAAAACTAGTAGACTAATTGTTCATGAACAATTAGAGGTCTTTCCACCTTCTTTAAATTTCATATATTCTTCATATTTAACTCTCAACTGTTTACTTTTTTTACAAAAGAGACCAGAAATGGCTTGAGAGATGGAAAAAATGAAAATTAAAAAAAAAAATTGAAATGACCTTGACCTTTGACAAATATTCAAGGTCAAAGGTCAAGGGTCACATTGCAATTAACCCCATGCTTCTACGACTTTTAGTTTTAAAGTTATAAGGTTTACTAGTAAGCACAAAGACGTTAAAGGGCGATAACTCATATAAGGAGTCACCGGATACTTTCGCACTGAATAGATAAGTTGTGTCTAAAGACCCTGAAGACATTAGTGAAGGTTTTGTGTCTCAGTGGTTTACGGTTTCAGAGGAGTAGCGATAACAAGGTTTTTCGGACAAGGGGCAATAACTTTTAAAAGGGTTAATCTTAGGGGACAAGATTGAAATCTTTGAAATAGTTTTAAAAGTACATATTAAAGATGTTAAGATATACTGTATATGTTGAAAGACAAAAGTGCTATAAAAAGAGCTTTATTTCTCATATTTGGAATGACCTTGACCTTTGACCTTAACATAAACTTCAAGGTCTAAGGTCAAAGAATCTAATGCAGTTGGTTTCATGTCTCTACGGCTTATCGTTTTGAAAAATTTTCATTATTTGTAAACTTCAAAAACTTTAAGGGGCAATAACTCATAAAAGGGGTCGACAAATACTTTCACAATGATACAATGAAGCAAGTACTAAGTTAGTCAAAGACATTGATGAAGGTTTTGTATCTCTACGGTTTACGCTTTCGGAGGAGTAGCGATAACAAGTATTCTAGAGAAAGGGGCAATAACTGCGAAAGGGGTTATAGGATATAGGCGTTGGGTCAAATTTGTTCATAACTTTTTATGACCTTTACGATGAAAAAAAAAATATTTTCGATTAATGTCGAAACAAAAAATCAGCGGAAGAAAAATAATAATAATAAGAATAATAAGAACTAGTAGACTAATTGTTCACAGAACAATTAGAGGTCTTTCCACCTTTTTAAGTGTTTCCATGTAATTTGGGCTGTAAAAAAAGAAGAAAAATGCAAAAAAAAAAAAAAAAAAAAAAAAAAAAAATGTTCTTCCAGCAGGGATCGAACTCAGAACCCTTAGCTTGAAAGGCAGACGCGCTAACCACTACGCCACGAATTTCGATGAAGATGTATGCAGTAAACTACCTATTCAGGAATTTAAAAAAAATTGTTGTACAACGTAGTTATCGGAATTGAATAGTTTTGAGAAACATGTTTCCATATCATTTGGCTTTCAAAAGAACAAAAGAAAGAAGAAAAGTACAAGAAAATAAATAAACTCAAAAATTCGTCTTTTGCTATAGATTTATTGTCGGGTTCGTTTCTCTGTAGAGTTCAAAAGGTCTTCGCGCAGCTCCAAAAAAAGATGTTTTTTTTTTGTTTTTTTTTTTTTGCGATTTAGGGGCCAATTTTTCTCTCTTTCCCCTTCTCTCTTCCTTTCTCTTCCTCTCTCTTTTTTCTCTCTCTCTTCTTTTTTGCTTCCGTGTTTATGGCATTTGTTTACATAGTTACCATGGAAGTACAATGCATGACATGTGTTTTACTGTGCATATCGTATTTCTATTTCTGTGCATTATGCATTCGAAAGTTTAATTTGAGGTGTTAAATGTTCTGATTTAGTTAAACTACTTAGAAAAGTTGCCAATGAAATAAATCGGACTCGAGGCTAATGGTATGTACTATGTAGGTCGTCATATGGGAAAACATGGATTGGACTCAAAGCGGCCTGACTGCGGATCCTAAGATTGTTGCAGGTTCAGTAAGACGATTCCTGAATGAAACAAGTTTCCCTGTGGGTTATATTAAATGCAGCTATGATAAATAAAATGTTCTACATGCATTTTAAGAAGAAAACAAGATAATGAAAGCGTGGAATAGTTTATTTCATACATTTATATTGGTTTAACACCCCCCCCCCTTCATATATTCTATATTTCTCATATTTTGGATGACCTTGACCTTTGACCTTGACCTTAACATCAAGAACAAAAATGCAAGAATCCATTTCAGTTGGTCCCATGTCTCTACGTCTAAGCGTTAAAATTTTTTTTCAAGTTACGTAAACAGCAAAAAAACTTCAGGGGCAATAACTTGTATAAGGCTTCGATGAATCCTTTCGCAATGATAGATTGAAAAGCCCTCTCAATTAGTAAAAAGCATTGGTGAAGGTTCTGTATCTCTACGGTTTGTGGTTTCAGAGGAGTAGCGATAACAAGCTTTTCTTGCGAAAGGGGCAATAACTTCATTAAATGTCATCGTTCGAAGTGGTTGGGTCAAATCTGAAAATCATTTAAGTAGTCGACTAATATGAAAGATGCGTCTCTTCGATAAGTTGCGAAACAAAAAATCAGCGGAAGAAAAATAATAATAATAAGAATAATAATAAACAGAAGAAAATCAATAGGACTTTCCACAGAAAGGTGGAAAGCCCTAATAATAATAAACAGAAGAAAATCAATAGGTCTTTCCACAGAAAGGTGGAAAGACCTAATGAGTTGAATTTCATCTTTATGTGGATTATTTTTTCAGTTAAAAGGCATATATATATACAATCTCGAAATGGTTTGTTATGATTAATTTGGTAGTTCTTTTCAGTGCAACTCCTTTCGTATACTTCAAAATCATTTCGGAGCGGATCCACTCCGGTTTGCTACATTGCAAGTAAACTGGTAAATGGGGCACGGGGGTTTGCTCCCGGTGTGTAATAATTATTTATTAAAAAATCATATACGGTAATACTAAAACAACACAAGGGAGGACACCATTTTGGACCCCTTCCTCGCTTCAACCTCTGTTTTCGTTATATTTTCCCGTATTTTACTAACTCACTGCCTTGGGTCTGTCAAGTAATGATTCTTCTAGGACATAATGCTTGAATTTTCCCCTTGGAGCCTCTACAATACACATTTCAGACTAATAATAATCCAAACGCACTCTTTGGGACAGTTGATAGGGACAGAAAACGAAAACACATACATTCGAAAATCTCAGGGTTTTTCTATTAGTTAAAACAGCTGCTAATTATAAAATTGAAAAAAAAAACGCGTTCTAATTTCGTATTCGAATGTAAAACCCCAAGGTTACTTTCATTTTCTGTCCTCATCAACTGTGGCGGTGAGTCAATAAAATATGGGAAAATATAACGAAAACAGAGGTTGAAGCTAGGAAGGGGTCCAAAATGGTGTCCTCCCTTGCGTTGTTTTAGTATTACCCTATAGGATTTTTTAATAAATAATTATTACACGCCGGGAGCAAGCCCCTGTGTATGGGGCGTATTCTAACTGTGGTGAGGGCTTGTCCCGAGACAAAGTTAAATTATTCAACTAGGACAAACAGTGATTTCAGCATAACTTCAATACCTTTGTTACAGTGGATTTAAATTAACAAGATCTGAGAGATCCTCTGTTAGTAGAATTAGATTAAGTGCACACAAACTTGCAATAAAAAGTGGTAAATATATTTCCACATCAAGAAAGGAAAGATGTTGTAATGCTTGCAATACTGGTGTGATTGACGATGAAATTCATTTTCTTTTTCACTGTAAATTTTCCTACGACCATGAATATTGTAAAATTATTTATTTATAATTCGATCAGGATCAAAATCGACTATAGATGCTGTTTTAGATTTTGACAAGTCATTAGAAAGGCTACAGGAAGCATATAAATCGGGGACATAGAGAATGGAATTTTCATAAAATCTTATAATATTTTCTTTCCATACAGAATATATGTACTTTGATATGTACTATGATTAATCTATCCTGTTTTTGAACCAGAGAAATATGACTGTATCCTGATATTCTATTTGTATTTCTTGAGGGAAAGTTATAATTTATATGAAAAAAGCAGCATTATTTAAACATGTTAGAGTTTTGTTTTAAAGAAAAATTATGAGAATTAAAGAGTAATTAAATAATTATGTTAGCTTGAAATGAAAATCGTTACTCTGAGTGTCTGACACTAGACATGCTGGATGGCTTGTTACTTGAAGCAGGTGTAGGAGTTATTGTTCTTTGTAAAAGATCATAATAAACATCTTGAACTTCTAACATTTTTTTTATATAAAAAAAAGAAAGATAATTATTATTAAAAATATCTATAATATTTGTTTTAAAAAACTATAAAATTGTTGTCATTATTGGTGGGACTTGGAAATTGCACTCAAGTTATGTGAGGATGTAAAAGTTATCGTTCTTTGTTCTTTTAACAATCAGAATATGCTTCTAAACACTTTTTAAAAATGATTTTTTATTCAAAATATAATTAAACAATGATAATCTATAAAGATATATTCTTAAACATTACTAAAATATCATATTTCCTGGTGGGACTTATTATTTTTCTGTGGGACTCATGTGGGACTTATTTTCCCCGTGGGACTTGTTTTAGTATGTCCCCAACCAAATAATCAGTATCTGAATAAACATAATAATAACCTCTCATCAAAGCGCTGAACTATTTCCTCTTTTCCCGTCTCCTCGTTTTTTATCACCACTGTTGTCATAGGCCGCGGGCAAACACAATGAAATTTACCCCCAAAATCAATATACAAATCGTCATAAACAACGTCAATCACTTTTCCCATTACTATTGAATTTGAAATGTTCCCTAACTGACAGAACTTTGATCTTCGAAACAATGCTTCAAAAGTCACATTCTTGTTTTCAAGATTTGGAGCCGGTGTTGCCTCTAAATCGCCGATTTTCTTTTTAAGTAACTCAATGTCTCGATCCTCAAGAAGTTTTTTGTAACCAGCAACACTTAAACGTGACGTCGTTGTAATACTTCTGCAATCTCCTCGAAAAAGTTTTGCTAGACACATTTTCCTCACAACTTGGGTCGCCATCTTTGTTTTAAAATCTCACTAAATAACGCTGCAGACTATTAAATCCCTTAATTGTCAAACTCTATGCTTAAATTTTACGTTGACAATATTTTTTTTTAATATATACATTCAATGATGAAAAAACACTGACAGTTCTTTATAATGTGGAAGTTGTATAGGCTTATACAATTTATATTACGAATATTTTCCTCATGATTATTTCTATTTTTTCCTGAAATTAGCTGACCGGATATGGACTTGGTATAACTAGTAAATCAATGATCAATGCTTAGACATATTTATTTATACCTACATTGGAGACACTGTTATCATTTAATTCTATTAAAATCATCGAAAACTATTCAGTTTTTTAAAAAAATTTTTACTCAGCACTTTCTTATCAATTCTAAGATAAGACATTGATACAAAAATATATAAAGGAATGGGACCAGTTATACCCTTTCTCAAGTATAAACAATGGACAAATTGCTGAAATTCATGGGTTTTATTGGCGATCTTAAGGTTTTTAAAAGATTATATCCATAAATTTTGAGGATTATTTCTCTTTTTTATTGAAAAGAATTGTGTGTATTCTATCCCTTAAGCCTTTGGCAAGGAAAACACAAAATGACAGAGTCTTTTACATGTGAAATTGTTTGTTAAAGAACAAAAAAAGTAGGCCTAATTTCATCATTTGATTTGTTACATCGGTATTCATTTTCGATTGATAGGATGTAATCAATAGTAATTTGATGACCTTTATTTCAGAGAGTGAAAAGAACTGGTTGGGTGTTGAGAAGAATTGAGGATCCTGAATCGGTGGCTGATCATATGTACAGAATGGCTCTTCTTTCATTCCTAGTGGAACCTACCTCAGGTCTCAATAAAGACAGGTCCTACTTGTACTGCTTCTCAAACTGTTCACCATAGGTGTGAATTGCTGAACGATGTTTATTTGGAAATTTAAATATAGTTGCACAGCATGCTTTACCTTAAATTTTTTATCATATTTAAATAGTGCTTACTGTACGTGCCTTACATGCAAAATAAATTAATCTTTCTTTTTTTTTTTTTTTACCAAATCAGAGCAATATACAGTTGAACTCTGGTATGTTGAACACTGATATCTCTAATACCATGGATTTGTGGAAGTGATTTGGAAGTCTCACCTTTCATTCTTTTAAGTATTTTACCCTTGGTATCTCGAACATTGGGATATCTCAATTTTTTTCTCCGTCACACCAAGTTCAAGATAATAAGGTTTGATTGTATACATGTATATACAGTCACATGTATATACAGTCAAACCTCATTATCTCAAACTCAATGGAACTGAGAAAAAACTTCGAGATATCCAAGGGTTCGAGATACCAAGGGTAAAATACTTAAAAATAAGAGGTTAATTGGGACTTCCAATTCACTTTGACGTATCCATGGTGTTTGAGATAACAGTGTTCGAGATACTGAAGTTCAATTGTATATATATATATATAGAGAAAGAGAGAGGGAGGGAGAGAGAGAGAGAGAGCAAACTGTAAAGCAATTTAATTTTCAAAAAAATAATTATTTGGTATATAAATACTGCAGCACATAGTCTACTGTATGCAGGGTTAATTTTCACCCTTTTACACCTAAAAACAATTTAGCCCAGTTTTAAATTTGCCCTGACACAGTTGTATTAAACATATATAATACTGTCTTCTTTGAATTCACCCCATTTGAAACTTTCCCTCTTGAGAGGAGGGCAAAAGGGATGAAAATGAAAGGGGGCAAAAGGGATGAAAATGAAAGGGGGCAAAAAGTTTCTCTGTATACAGAATATCACTGGTGTTCTTCTAAGATATAGCATTTATTTCCATTGACAGATGCATCAAAATAAGCCTGGTCCATGATCTTGCTGAATGTATCGTGGGGGATCTTACTCCTCAAGATGACTTTTCAAAGTCTGAGAAACAAAAGCAGGAAATGGTACGGTTACTTTTATTTGTGAATCATGAAATTTAAAATGGTATTGTAGATTAAAGCATAAGCCATTTAACTGCTGAGGAGGTCAGTGTTTGTGATTTTCATTACTTAATCAGATTTGAATACAACTTTCTTCAGTTGCTGTATTTGTAGCTTCCATTTTATTTTTGGCTGATTGGCTTGCAAAGCAAAAATTGGTTTACGGATTGAACAATAGCTATTTGTCATTCTGCCTTCATCAGTTATTTTGTTTTCTTGTTGTGTTCAGCTAAGTTCTGGGGGACCTCCACACAATGTAGCGTAATCTTTTATAAGTAATTTACCTTGTTTTTGACCTTTAATCACTGTATTAATAAACGAAACAAATTTACTTCTGTTGAAGATGGCCCATAGCAATGAACATCACTTATAGCCTGTTATAGGTACAGATCTGTACATGTTAATCAGGCTATTTTTAGAGAACCACCATCAGAGGTGATCTTAGCCTTGACCTTTGACCATGAAATGGTAAAATAAAACAATTTTATATCTGATGTGGATGATACTCTTATATTATCTTCAAACATCACACAGGTAGATTGAGATTTTGGTGATAGATTTAGTTATTAAATGATGACTTGTAATAATATGTTTTAGGAAGCCATGAAGCACATCTGCAGTTTGGTTTCAGAAGAAGTAGGACAAGAACTCTATGAATTATGGGAGGTGATCAAATGAAATTTAATACATCATTGCTATCTGACATATTTTTTTGAATTTTTTAAGTTTACATTTCAGTTTAAATGTCAACTTAGTTAAATTGTGTTTGAAGAAGGAGTTATTGCCCTTGCACTTGTTGACTTTCATTAACTCTCACTTTTTCTCTCTTTAGGACTATGAATTTCAGAAAAGTGAGGAAGCTAAGTTTGTAAAGGACTTGGACAAATTTGAGATGATTCTCCAGGCTCACGAGTACGAGAATCTCAGTAACAGCCCAGGGAGACTACAGGAATTCTTTGATAGTACAAAAGGTAAGAATGTAACATTATTAACTGATTAATGAAATACACAGGGTGAGACATCTTATGAAGTTATGAAAAATATTCAGACAATTTGAAGTCCAAAGGTTAAGACAGACTACAGTAAAATCAGTAAGAAATCTTAAGATATAAATTGAAAGACATAGTGCAAATGGTAAGACTCTTATTTACAAATGATAAGGCATCAAATTGTACAAAGGGATAGACATTGTACAAATGGTTAGAGATCTTATTGCACAAAGGGTTAGACATCTTATTGTACAAATGATAAGGCATCAAATTGCACAAAGGGTAAGACATTGTACAAAGGGTAAGACATTGTACAAAGTGTTAGACATTTTATTAGGTCACCTGAGTCACTCAGGTGACCTATTGCTATCTGTTTTCGTCCGTCGTCGTGCGGGCGTGTGGGTGTGCGTCGTGCTTAAACTTTTCACATTTTCGACTTCTTCTCAAGAACCACTGGGCCAATTTTCACCAAACTTGCCACAAACTATCCTTGGGTAAAGATGATTCAAGTTTGTTCAAATGAAGTGCCACACCTTCTTCCAAGGGGAGATAATTAAGAATTAATGAAAAATTAATGGTATCTTTTAAAAATCTTCTTCTCAAGAACCACTTATACGGAAACATCATCAGGTAGCGTAGACTCAAGTTTGTTAAAATCATGACCCCCAGGGGTAGGGTGGGGCCACAATGGACGATCAAAGTTTTTACATAAAAATATATAGGAAAAATCTTTTAAAATCTTTTTCTCGGGAACAGCAAAGCCATGATTGGTCATATTTATATGGAAGCATCTTCAGGTAGTGTAGATTCAAAACCTGACCCCCCCATCCCCCCCCCCCCCCCGGGGTAGGGCAGGGCCACAATGGAGGATCAAAGTCTTACATAGGAATATATAGGAAAATTTCTTCTCAAGAACTGCAAAGCCATGATTAGTCATTTTGATATGATCGAAGTTTTACATAGAAATACATACAAAAAATCTTTAAAAATTTTCTTCTCCAGAACCACTGGGCCAAGAAAAATGAAACTTATCTGGAAACATACTCAGGTAGTGTAGATTCAGGTTTGTTCAAATCATGACCCCCAGGGGTAGGGCAGGGCCACAATGGATGATCAAAGTTTTACATGGGAATACATTGGAAAAATCTTCTTCTCCAGAACCACTGGGCCAAGAAAGATGAAATGTGGAAACATCTTCAGGTAGTGTAGATTCAAGTTTGTTAAAACCATGATCCCCAGGGGTAAGGTGGGCCACAATGGACAATGAAAGTTTTGCATTGGAATATGTAGGAAAAATCTTGAAAAAATTCTTTTCTCAAGAACAGCAAAGCCATGATTGGTTATATTTACATGGAAGCATCAGGTAGTATAGATTCAAATTTGTTTAAATCATGACTCTGGACTCTGGGGATAGGGTGGGTCCACAATGGACGATCAAAGATTTACAAAAGCTCCTTCTATCAATTTATTTTATACTCTATGGATCTTCTATGGATTGTTCTTTTATACTCAGGTGACCGTTAAGGCCCTTGGGCCTCTTGTTGTACAAAGGGTTAGACATCTCATTGTACAAAAGGTTAGACATCTTATTTTACAAAGGGTTAGACATTGTACAAAGGGTAAGACATTGTACAAAGGGTTAGACGTTTTATTGTACAAAGGGTTAGACATCTTATTGTACAAAAGGTTAGACATCTTATTGTACAAAAGGTTAGACATCTTATTGTACAAAGGGTTAGACATCTTACTGTACAAAGGGTTAGACATTTTATTGTATGAATGGTAGAACATGTTTTAGTACAGGAGTATTATATAAAGAAACCCATGGCAAGACATCCAAAGTATCCTCTTATATAAAGAAAAGACATTTTGAATTGAAAGTGTGGTACAGTGTACAGTAGAAATCTAGCTGTACAAAGTATATGTTACCTGTAATAAGTAGAGTGGACACATAGACTTATTAATGAACTGTATAATGAAATTTTGCTTTATATGTTGTTCCAAACTTTTCTTTCAGGAAAGTTCAAGACTGTGCAAATAAAAGACTGGGTAGAGAAGTTAAACACAAAAAGATGTTCATCTGGTGGATCATGACAAAATAAACTTAGTATTTCCTCAAAGTTTTTTGATTTTTCTCTTTAAAATCTATAAAGCTCAAAATTAGTATAAGGGATAATTATGGATGCCTTATTTGGAGGTAGTGTGACACAGATTCTAAATGCCTAAATGGGTACTATAGTATTGAATTTTAACTTCTCAGGTGATGTTATTAAAAATAAACTTTTCACCCAGCTGATTGCAGCCTCAGACTTTTCCTTACCCTATGCGACTATTCTCAATCTTTGGTAAGAGGCTTGGATGCTTGTTGAGGTCACATTTACATAACTTGTTCCTGTTTAGGCCGATGAGAATCGCACGGTCTCCAAGGCCTTCAAACGGTAGAAGGATAAAAAGTCGAAAGTGAACTAAACTTCATTGACATGAAATGAGTATTACTAAATTTTTATCCTTGTTTGTATATTTACAAAATGTGTGGTCTGACAACTTATGGTTGCTATCAAAAGTTTAACAACAAGGGTAACTTGATGCTCTCATTAAACAGTAATACCCGCACGTAAATGTTTGTCTCTAAATGTACTCTCCTTCGTACTTAGGTTAAGAGCAAACAAAGCCACAATAGTTATTCCGTAATTTACATAAATACGACACAGACAGTTGTTTCTGTTTTTAACCCATAGTATGATAAATCGTTGTTATTTTATGGGTTAAAAAATTATTACAGAAACATCTGTCTGTGAAATATGAGCATAAAATTCTCAGATGAGCATGTGGCTTATGGGCCTTTTTGTTATGGTATTTTATATTAAGTCATCTACAATTTGAAATGAAAGAATTTAGTGAAGCATAGATTCTGTTTAAAAAAAAGTTTTGGAATGTAGATTAAAGATAAAACCGTTTTAATTTCGTTAACCTCCAGGATGAAAACGAAACTCTGAAACCTTTACAGGACGTCGAACATATTCCAAAAGCTGATTTGGCTTCTGCATAAAATGTAAGAAGAGTTCTGGGAACTAGATTTTTGTAGAAAAACGTCGTTTTTCGATTCTTACTTGACCCCTTGATATTTTTATCAAGGGGTCAAGTAAGGAAAATTTTGAAACCTTATTGCAAATCTTAAGAGCACCACCAATCATATTCCAAAAGCTGATATGGCTACTGCTTGAAATGTGAGAGGAGTTCTGGAAAGTAGGTTTTTGTAGAAAAAATGTCGTTTTTCGACCCCTTGGTCCACAATTCTGAAACCCTATTGCAATTACATACATGACACCAATAATCATATTCTAAAGGAGTTGAATTGGAAACAAAATTAAAATGTAGGAGAAGTCCTCTTTAAGCTGGAGTTTGAATTTGTCATTCAAATATCCATGATATCATTCTACAAAAGAAAAAGGCTCATATAAAGCAACAATATTAAAAAGTACACATGCACGTAATAAGAGGGTTACAGTTCATGCGCGGATCTGGGGGGGGGGGGGGGTCCGGACCCCCCCTCTCCCTGGGATTCGCAGAGTTATCAAAAGTATATACTGAGGCATATAAAAATGACTCTAGACCTCCCCTAGAAAACGTGAACCCCACCATCACCACCACGAAATACATGTAGGTGTATTTCAAGTTTGGGAAATGGATTTTACTGGGGTGGACCCCCCCCCCCCCGGTAGTCTGTTGCAATGTAGCAGCGAACTTCGAATCTACCTTTAACGTGGCTGAATACACGAACTCAACCTATTACCCATACGCCTATATATGGAACGCCATAGCTGCCTTATGTGGTTATTTCATACAAAGACGGTGCTTTTTTATGTTATGCTGTGGTTATTTCATGTGAAGATGGTGCTTTATTATGTTATGCTGTGCTTATTTCATGTGAAGATGGTGCTTTTTTATGTTATGCTGTGCTTATTTCATGTGAAGATGGTGCTTTTTTATGTTATGCTGTGGTTATTTCATGTGAAGGTGGTGCTTTATTATGTTATGCTGTGGTTATTTCATGTGAAGGTGGTGCTTTATTATGTTATGCTGTGGTTATTTCATGTGAAGGTGGTGCTTTATTATGTTATGCTGTGGTTATTTCATGTGAAGGTGGTTTTTTATGTGAAGGTGGTTTTTCATGTGATGGTTTGTTATGTGATGGTGGTTTTTCATGTGATGGTGGTTTATTATGTGAAGGTGGTTTTTCATGTGGAAGTGGTTTTTTATGTGAAGGTGGTTTTTCATGTGATGGTGGTTTTTTATGTGAAGGTGGTTTTTTTATTTGAAGGTAGTTTTTTTTATATCTAATGTGAAGGTAGTCACTCTGAACTCCTAATATTTTTGAAGACTGAGTTTAACAGCTAATATCCCGAAACTTTGAAAGTGAAACAAATAGACAATATAATTTAAAAAATCATTTTAACACGCCATTGCTAGTTCCTCTTTTTTCCATAGGCGCTTGGTTTCAGGAAGGTGTATTTTGTGTGTTATGTTTTTTATTCTAGCTGTGTCTGAATAAACTCGATGACAAAAATTAAAAAAAAAATCACTGAAATTAGCACGTTTTAAAAATGTAATATTACTGTATACAAAAAAAAGAGTGAAGGTACGAGAGTTGCAGTCTTCTATTTTACGGGGTACCCGGCTCGTTCACACTTGATTTTAATCAATATCTACACTTTTCCTACCGGGTGAAATCTACATTTAAAATTGATTGAATAACGCCCTTCAATCGTCTGTCAATTTGAACTTGCCGTATGAAATATGCAGTAAACAAAAACATCCTGATAGTGAAAACAATGGAAGTGACGATTTTTAACCTTGTAAAATGTAGAGGCGTCCATAACACGGAAAGTCTAGAGAGAACAAGTTTGGCGCGGTTTCTGTCCACTCTAGATTTTCCAAAGATGGCAACTGTCGTACCTACACATATAGACACCTATTATATACAGTAATATGACATTTTTAAAATGTGTTAATTTCAGTGATTTTTTTTATTTTTATGTTTTCGAGTGTATTAACACATCTAGAAAATAACATAATACACAAAATACTCCATCCTGAAACCAAGTGCCTACGGAAAAAAGAGGAACTAGCAATGGTGTATTAAAATGATTTTAATTACATCGACTATTTGTTTTGCTTTAAAAATTTCGAGATAATAGCTGTTAAACTCAGTCTTAAAAAAATGAGGAGTTCGGAGTGACTACCTTCACATTAAATATTAAAAAAAAAACCACCTTCACATAAAAAAACCACCTTCACATAAAAAACCACCATCACATAAAAAAACCACCTTCACATAAAAAACCACCATCACATGAAAAACCACCTTCACATAAAAAACCACCTTCACATGAAAAACCACCTTCACATAAAAAACCACCATCACATGAAAAATCACCTTCACATAAAAAGCCACCTTCACATGAAATAACCACAGCATAACATAAAAAAGCACCATCTTCACATGAAATAACCACAGCATAACATAATAAAGCACCATCTTCACATGAAATAACCACAGCATAACATAATAAAGCACCATCTTCACATGAAATAACCACAGCATAACATAATAAAGCACCATCTTCACATGAAATAAGCACAGCATAACATAAAAAAGCACCATCTTCTCATGAAATAACCACACAAGGCAGCTATGGCGTTCCATACCTATACTGTATTCATAACAAACGCACGTGTTTTCCTGTAACTTTTATAAATATATTAAGCTACTGCTAAACAAGTGCGAGTTTAGGGAACAGGGTTCTGAATTTAAAGGAAAAAAAAAAGTTGGGTTCCCGGATGAAAGTAAAAATTCCAAAACCTTACTGAAAATGTGCAGGAAAACTCCAACCAAATTCTTAAAGATGATTTGGCTACTGCGAATATTGTAAGACTTCTTGAAACCAGTTTTTAAAAAAAAAAAAAAAAAAAAGCTTGTTCGATAAAATTGAAAAGCCGTGATTGAAGTTAGAAAGTTGGAAAACAAATTTTTAGAGTTGGAATTAGCAACTTAAAAGTTGGAAAAGCCAAGATAAAAATTGGAAAAGCCAGCTTTGAAGTTGTCTTGGCTATTCCAACTTTAAAGTTGGAATTATAAACTGTAAGGTATATTATGGGACAAATGCGATAAAATATAATTAATATTTAACGTAAAGAAAAAAATGGATAGTTAAGATGCAGCAGTAGAGTTTCCGAATGAAATAGTGATCCAGACCTTTCATGAAAACAAAAATCTTGGGAAAAATATTGAAACATAATTTTGTAAAATATCATACAATTTTAAAAAATAAAAATTATGAAAAAACTAGATGTGTCGTTAACGCCGCGAATGCCCCCATAAGCAGCCAAAATTTCAAATGCAATATTTAGTTTTAAATTTGTATTCAAACTTGACCCATAATTTCTGATAAAATACCTGCATATGCAATTTCAGCCTTATACATACATCCCTACAAAAGTTATAGAGCGGAAACTGAAAATTTCTTATTTTTGTATGTTCAAGAGAGATAACTCTGTCAAAAATCATTGAACCACGACCAAATTCAAATTTGACCTCTATTTTCTGGTAAAACACCTGCGTATGCAATTTCGACCTTATACATACATCCCTAAAAAAGTTAGAGAGCTGAAACTAAATTAACTAAAAATTAACTAACTAATCAGTAAATAAAAAAAATCTTATTTTTTTCTAAGTTCAAGTGGGATAACTCTGTCAAAAATCATCGGACCATGACCAAACTCGAACCTGACCAAATTCGAACTTGACCTGTATTTTCTAGTATGTATCTGCACAAGCAATTTCCACCTTATACATGTACATAAATCCCTACAAAAGTTAGAGAGCAGAAACTAAAAATTTCTTATTTTTTTCCTAAATTCAAGAGAGACAACTCTATCAAAAATCATCGGACAATGACCAAATTCGAAGTTGACTTGTATTATGTAGTAAAATACCTGCATATGCAATTTCAACCTTATACATACATCCCTACAAAGTTAGAGAACGGAAATTGAAAATTTCTTATTTTTTTCTAAGTTCAAGAGGGATAACTCTGTCAAAAATCATCGGACCATGACC